AATTATATATATTAGGCTAAACCATTTGAAAATGTTTGTATATGTCTGTTTCTCACTTCTAAAATCAGCAGTTTTTAATGGTTCAATACATATATCAGGAAAAATATACCCTAAAATTTAATAGTATTCTATATTTTTGGCTCTTTAAATTCACTTGTATTTGTTTTTTCTCTCCCCCAGGGCTGGGGACTGAACTCATGGTTGTGTACGTGCTGGGTAAGCACTCTACCACTGAGCTACACCTCCTGCCATAGATTTGCTTCTTTTAGATTTCAGTATTTTCTAATTTTACTAAAAGCTAAATACTAGTTTCAATACTACAGGCCATGAGACTGTGAACAAATTGAAATTTCTCAATTTTCTCAAACAACAACTGAAGTAATAATAGCAGTACCTAATTCAAGGGTTAGTTTAACAATGAAATATGGCACTAGTGTAGAAATAGTAGCAGAGACCCTGGCACATGTATATCATCTCCTTATTGAAAAATTCTCCAGTAGTAAAATAAAAAATAAGAATTATCACACTTTGTAAAGTCAAATCTGTTAATGAAATTCTCTAAATGAGAACTATTAGATTATACCTCCCTTTCCCTTCTAAAAATCTTTGCCAGGAACATATGATGGAACAACTCTAAAGCAAACCTCCCTCCTCTTCAAATAATGTACTTATTAAAGAATCAGAAAGGGCCAGGGATTTAGTTCAGTGGTTCTACCGCCTGCCTCGCAAGCGCAAGGTCCCAAGTTCAATCCCCAGTACCAAAAAAAAAGAAAGAATCAGAAAGACCTAGATCCAAAATTTCCCAGTTGCCAGAAGATCTATGGAATTTCCAATTGTGGAGGGCACAAAACAAGAATAGGAAAAGAACTACTTACAAAGGAATAAGGATGATAAAAGAGACAAAAAGAAAATTATTACTGGAGAAATCTCTGTTTTCAACCAGCCAGTAAAGCCTACTTAAATGTTTTAATATGAATGCATGCTTATAATTGTAAGATCTCATAGAATAAAATTTCATACCTTTGGATCTATTGTATATTCAGAAGATATGAATAATTCTCCCTAAGATCTTCACAGAAAGGAAATAAGCGGTTATGAAAGAAATGTTCTCCTACCTTAACAGCTTCCCCAAGAGTTTGGTTTTTGTCAGCCTCCTCACTGGAGTGCAATTCAAGTCTACAATTTAATTCCTGTAGTTGCTGGGCCTGTTCATTCAACAGCATTTGTGCCTGCTGTTCCCGAAGTAATGCATTATTTAGTTCTTCACATGCACTTTCAAACTTCTCATGGGTGATCAATTTCTTTAAAAAGAAGGGAAAAATCAGTTACAAGCTAACTACATTACTCTATCATTTAATCTTCAGAACATTATTATAATGTAAACATTTCTAAGTATCTGAAATCAGTGAAAAATGGATGGTTACAGAACTTTTGAGAAAATTGCACCTTTTTCCATCTATTGTGCCTATTATAGCTAGGCATAAATTATAACCACTACAGTAAAGTGAACAAAGGTATGAATTTGGGAGCCAGACTACCCACGTTCAAATCCCATCACTTCAACTTACTAACTGACTTTGGGCAAGTTACTTAGCTGATCTGTCACCCATATTCCTCATCAGTAAAATATGGATAATAATAATATTTAACTATCAATTTCTATGAGATTACAATGAAGATAAAATAAATTAACATCTGTAAAATGTTTAGGGTTAGTACTTGATGGTCAATATAATTATTAAATATTAGAAAACACAATTTATAACTTAAAATAATATGCCAACATATAAATATTATAATTCCCACTCCTTCGATTATTCTGTCAATTAATCCTATTTTTATTCCTAAATTTCAGAGGAAATAATTCACAGTAAACATTTCCTAGAACATATTCTTAGGCTTTGCTGCAAGCCAGTTATTGAAACAAAGAAAGCCCTCACACAGATTTTGTCACCTCCCACCAACTTTTCCTTAAACTTTTTCTCTAGAGTCTAGAACTGGAGACATGATTAAGTTAAAAATGAGATGTTTACTTGTTTTTCTAATACTTAAATGATCAAAAATAAGATGCTGATTTTCTAATTCTTAACTATGAACTACGAAATCCAAGCGTGCACAGTATATCTAGAATTCTCCATATATATTCTAGGAACAACATACATAAAGAGTCTTCCAATTTCCAGAAAAGCAACTGTTATATAAACCTAAATATAAGTGATTTTATTCCAAATCTTAGTGTCAATAACTTTATCCATTTTAGCTGGCCATCTCACAACCCCAAATTTAGTTTGTATATATGTTTGGAAATAAATGCAAAAGAAGAAAAGACACACTTCAAAAGAACTGGTTTTTAAAAATATAAATAGGTCTTTAGTATTTATTATGATAGCAAAAATTTTCTGGAAAAAAATTACATGTCTATGAATAGGGAATAGTCAAAATAGAACAGTGTTCATTTACATAAAGTGAAATAATAATAGCATAAAAATATACTACCTGAAGAAAATGTTTACATATTTAAATCAGCATCCAAACTGTACATAAAAATTATTTCAAACTACAGTTATCCATAAAAGCATGCGTACAAATCTGCACATAAAAAATGTGAGGAACAAAATGTATTCACATTTCAACAGTGATTGGTTCTGGGTGGGTATGACTAAAGAGCCTTAAACTTTCTTTCTCATATTTCTTGATTTTTAGCTATGACTATCTTGTATTACTTTTATAATAAAAAATGCAGAAGCAACTCATAAGTTTTCTTTCTTTAAGCAAAAAAACTAAAAAAGTGAGGAAAAAATTATAGTATCATTGTCTATTGTAGTAGACATTTATTAAAGAAAACTGAAGCTTAAGAGTAATTCATGATTACTTGACCCTAATTCATAAGAACAAATTCCCTTTGATGGTATATATATATATATATTTGAAAGAATTAATACTAACAATTTACATTATAATAAGATTAATAAAATTACTACCTGCCACTTTCTCTGCTACCACAAATGTTAAAACTAAAAATTCCAGATTAATCAAAACATATTTTTAATATGCTATGGCTATGCTTGCAAAACTTGGGTTCCCTAAGAAGGTACTAAAATTAGCTTGTTATAGACAGATGGATAAAGAAAATGTCATATATAGATACAACAGAGTACTACTAAGCCATACTGAAGGATGAACTTGTGTCACATGTAGGAAAATAGAAGTACCTCGAGTTCATAGTGCTAAGTAAAATAAACCAAACAAAAGGTTAAATATTACACTGTTTCTCTTACATAAAAAAACCCAAAATGTAAGTAATTTAGTGAGCAAAATTAAAGATGATAGGAAACAGGGAAATAGACATTGAGGAAATAGAAGGTGATTGGGAGAGTGGGAGGAAAGGGATACGAAGGGCAAGTAATAGGATCAAGACATATATGTACCAATACCACCATGATGAATGTATGTATTATGTATCATAAACATACTAAAAATTTTGAGAAAAATAAAATTAGATTAATGCTAGGTTTAATAAACACATTTTATATTCATATTTATATCAAGCTGTCATCAGTTTCTTAAGTTTTAAACCTTCAAGATGATCTTCTAACTCTTTATCAACATTTAAAAAAGGACAATAACAGTTCTAACAGGTTGATAACTAACCCAACTGCAGACAAACTCAACATTTCTTTAGAAAAGCAATTTGTGACCATAATGAATGACATGGTTAATGAACCTACAGTAGATACAGATAAAAAAAAAAAAATAGGAGCTTAGGAAAGTGATGGAAACCATGAATGCTCAACACAGGAAAGAACTGGATTCCATAAAAAAAGATCCAAACAGATATACAGATTAAAAATTCCACTGAAAGTACATGCAGCAGAATCAACCAATATGAAGACAGAATATCAGATCTAGAAGACAGATTTGCAGTTAACAACCATCAAATGAAAGACTTCTTAAAAATACCAAGGGACCACAAAAAAAAATCAATCCAACAGCTGCTAGTTCATGCAAAGAATAATAATATAAGATATATCAGAATCATTGATAAGAAGATAGCACAAAGGACATTTAAAAAACCTGTTCACAGAAGTAACAGCACAAAATTTCCCAAACATGGGAAAAGAATTTGACATACAAATAAGGAATATAGAACATCAATTAGCCATCATCAGAAAAAAGCTACACCAAGGCATATAAGAGTCAAGATTCCCAAAATTCAACACATGAACAGAATACTAACAGCTGTTGGGAAAAAAAAAAAAATCACATATAAATAAAACCCATCAGAATCACAGCAGACTTCTCAACATAAACCCTTAAGTCAAGGAGAACTTGGAGCAAAGTATTTCAGGCCCTAAAAGAAAACAACATTCAAATTAGATTGATACACCCTACAAAACTCTTTTAAAACTGATGGAGAAATAAGATACTTCCATGACAAAGAATACCTGAAGAAATTCATAACCATGAAACCAGCAATCTAGAAAGTTCTGAAGGATATTCTAGAAAAAGACAACAAAGACAAAATTCCATGAATCCCAACAGACTGAATACACCAGGTAAGGCAAGCAATTAAACAGAGGGGAAAGAAAGGGAACCAGCAGGAAAATATATTACATGACTAGGATAAATCAATACATTTTAGTTAAAATCATCAATGTAAATGGTATCAATTCATAAATCAAAAGACTGGCAGAATGAATCAAGAAACAAGTCAACAATATACTGCATATAAGAAATACATTTAACTCAACAAGAAACTCAGAGACTGAAAGCTACAGGATGGAAAACAATACTCCATATGACAGGAACCTGAAACAATGCAGGAATAGCTATGCTACTTTCAGACAAAGTGGATTTCAAGCCAAATATGACCAGAAGATACAAAGAAAGTCACTACATACTTGTTAAGGGAACAATCCAACAGGAAGAGAGAACAATCATAAATGTACATGCACCAAATACCACAACTATATAAAACAAACACTAGTGGACATAAAAAAAAAAACACACAAGCACTAATGCAATTGTAAAAGGGAGCCTCAACACACCACTGTCACAAATAGATCAATTAGGCAAAAAAAAAAAAAAAAATCAATGAAGAAATACCAGATCTGAACCACATCTTAAAACAAATGGACTTAGTAGTTATCTACAGAGTGCTCTACCCCACAACAAGAGAATACACATTCTTCTCAGCAGTACACCGGACTTTCTCCAAAGTAGACAACATATTATCTCACAGAATATGCTTAAGTAAATGCAAAGGAATTTAAAATATCCAAAGGGTATTTTCAGATCACAGTGCAATGAAACTGGAAATGAGTGGCAAAAGAAATCACAAAAACTAAACAAACACAAAGAAATTAACACCCTGCTGAAGAACAAATTGGTCATAGATGAAACTAAAAAAGAAATTAGATAGTTTCTACAATTAAAAGATATCGCCAACACAACATATCAGAACTTACAGGACACAATGAAAGCAGTCTTACGAGGAAAATTTGTAATGGTGAATTCCCACATCAGAAAAAAAGAGTGAGCACAAACAAATAACCTAATGTTGAGGTTGAAGGCTCTAGAAAAAGAAGAGCAAGTCATGCCCAAAACTTATATGAGGGAGGAAATTATAAAGATCAAACCAGGAATTAATACAATTGAGACTAAGAAAACAATACAAAGAATTAATGAATCAAAGAGTTGGTTCTTTGAAAGATGAATTAAAACAGACAAACCCTTAACCAACCTTCCCAAAACAAATAAAGACCCAAACCCATGCAAGTAGGAATAAAAAGGGGTGGCCCTACCGAGGTCACGAGTCACGCGGAACACGCCAAATCAGCCCGCACCCCGGCAACAATCCAGTGGAGCCCCCCCCTCCCCCGCTCCTCTGTACAGCCAGCCACCTGGTTCCATACTACAAAGACACAGAGGACACCAGACCACCAGACCACGGTACTGAGTCCTGCTGCTCCTGGCCCAGAGGTAGGGGCTTCTGGGCCACCATCCCTCCCACCGCTCCCGGCCCAGAGGCAGGGGCTTCTAAGCTGCCATCCCACTGCTCCTGGACCAGAGGAAGGGGCTTCCCGGCCACCATCCCTCCGGCTGCTCCCAGCCCACAGGAAAGGGCTTTTGGGCCACGGTCCCTACTGCGGCTCCCGGCCCC